ACGCGCAAACCCCAGATGCATTGCAACCAGTACCTTATATGGCGTCACCTTGTTCTGATAATTTAGTTCAACAACTTCATGGCAATCTGCTGTGGCCCCATCCATTCCCCAACTGAATGTACTCTACATTCACCTTCAAGTCAAGTCGAGCAACCCCAATTATTTGTTGAAATAATACTGGTTACGGTCTATTTTACTTGTCCGACAATCAACATTGTCGTTCGGGAAGAGGTCCTTCAGATAACTGTTGACTATGTGGGTCATCTATCACTAGCCCTTCCTGCTACGTGTTAGCCACCTTTGGTTTATCCAGCAGCAACAGGATCTTTCTGGAGGTTTTTCTACGGACTTTCCTTCTGGGGGACTTCGACGCAACCTTACACTCTTTCACAATGGAAGGTGGTGTCAAGTATTTCTCAACATTTAGAGACCCTTTGGAGGGTTCTAAGTGATTAGAAGCCACTTTCGGCATCTACCCGGTTAAACTCAGGTCGGGAAAAGTCTAATCCTCCTTTGGACGGGTGACTGAGGCCGTCTTCATCGGTTCCATATAAGTTTTTTTTAAAGGGAGGACTTTAGCTCAGTCATGGCGTAGCCTCGTACCATTGTAAGAACTCAACAATTAAGCCTGAAAATATTTTTGAGGCGCCCATGTATAAAGAAGGCTCCGTCAGAATACAGTTGGAAACCTGACTGTAAAACGTGAAACAATAATGGGCATGATGTCTAGCACTCCAGTGTTAGGAGACCTCGTGCGCCATTTCAAATTTGTCGAACTGAAGGGTGCCCTTCAACTCAGTCCAAATGAGCACTCGGCAAGGGTCTTGGTGTAAACCCCACGGTCGTTCTCCCCATTCATAAATATGCTTACAAAATTAAATTCAGTACAGCGATCAGCTTCGAACCTGACTACCGGAGCGCTAAAAAGTACTCCACAGGCAGCCTTGAATGCGATATTGAATCTCCAACCACTGGATATTCGGATTAAATTCCAGATGTGCCCTGAGGCTCCGAGAAACGGATGTCTGGAGATCGCTATGGTTGTGATTTCTTGAGGAGAAATACTCACATTAGGGACTATGTTCCCTTTCATAGAGACTTTAATGACATTAGAGTAGAGTTTCTATAAAATAGGTCAAATATAGGTAAATTTTTTCGAGTAGCCCCCATATAAGGGCACCCCAATTTTTGGTATTTTGGGGTTTATGAGCGCGCTTTTCAACCGAATTCGTTGTAATTTGGTATTTTGCAGTCGCATATGATAACAAATTTTCCTACCTAAAATTCTTATTATTCGCCACCAATAGGGGCAGTTCCCATAAAACCCCCTTCTTATATTAAAACAGTTAGCTAATTAGTTCCGTGTGTAGGGGTTGTCCCCATATAGGCGTATTCATAAACATAAAAAATAGCTATAAACGAAAAACGTGCATCCTGCTTAAATTTTTTACAAATACTTCAGATATTTTGGGTTTGAATGTGTTAGAAGTTTTAGCTACACTTGGTTCTGTGCATATTATTTATTTATAAGTTTTCGACAAGCCCATTAGGATTGGAAACCAATGTGAGATTTAAACTCGTCAAGTAAATAATAACCTTGTCTTCAAAGTCAATAAGTTAAAACATTTGTTTTCTCAAATTGTTACAAAAATTTTTATTATAATTTACTAATTTAGCTAATTACATACATATATGGATATCTAAACTAATAATATAGGTATTATCCGGTTTTATGACGAGCAACTGCCTGCCGTTACTGAAGCCTTTGTTGAAATATATGTTACAATACCATCCTTAATGGCATTGGAGGAACTATTTGTATTGGTGGCGGTGTTATGTGTACTAGTATTTGTTGTTCCTGATGACTTCTTCTTTTTTAACTTCGTCTTGACCTTACGAACTATGGTTGTGGCTGTGGTAGAAGCTAATACTATTGCACCTCCGCTACTGGTTGATGGTCGAACATCTGATGTTGGATTTGTTTTTAATGATCCTGCTCCTCCATCAACATTTTGTAAATTGTGCATTTTATGGGATTTGGATTTTTTAGTCTTATTTTTGGTATTTGTAGTTTGAACCGCTGTGGCAACTATGCCACCAGTTTTGAATTTACTCGGGTGACGTAAATGATGGGGTTTGTTTTGTCCCGTAATATTCGTAGCTCCCACTCCTCCATTAGTGTTGGTTTGTTTATTAATCGTATTGCGATATGTCCCCACCGCCAAATTACTTCTTGTTTTGCTGCTTTTACTAATTTTGGTTAGGAATGTTGTTGTCTCGGTTACTTTTGTTATGAGATTTCTGGAAAGAAGGATATTTTTCAATTCAATTCAATTTAATTTTGAAATTAAAATACCTTTTCTGTTTGGTTTTAGTCTCACTGTCACTTTTCGGCTTCGTTGACTTTTTCATATTGGCCAAGTGCTTAAATATCCGCATTGTATGATCCTCAGTATTTAGTTCGGGCATCATCAGTGTCAAAGGGGTTTTGCTGCTTTGGTTATCACGCGGTGTTGCCTCCTCATTGGAATTTATACTCTGCCATTCTAGGAGTTTTTGACTGCAGGCTCTGGAAATATAAGGGAATAAATATTGAATTACTTCTTTGAAGACAAACAAAAAAAAATTAAGCGGAGTGTATATTAAATTTGCATTCCGTTCGCAACATGCCGTAATGTTCGAAGGGAAAATCATGATAGAGATCGCAATATTTAAGATATATAGGTCGACCGCATTTTGGTATAATATGGGGTCTATAGCTGGTCGATATTTTGATGTCATCCTCTTCCGTCACGAAAGTACGATGTTGTTGTAGGAACTTTCCACATTTTATTCATATTTGTGTTCAGTTTATTCCAATTCGATGTTGTTTCCATGTTCAAAGGGGTTTCAATTTCAAATTCTGGAGATCGATGAGTAAGTTTAGCAGGGCAGTTGGAAAAATGCCGCATGTCGTGGAGTAGAGCAACATGTAGGGAATGTGTCTATTATCGTGCTGTAAATTTGGGCCCAATACAAATTGAAGAGGATGAACCATCCTGATCTTAATTGGACTAAAACTATTCTCGTTTGTTTCGGAAGCTGGTTGTTGTTGTTGTGGCAGCTGTGTATTTCTTCTTAATATCCTTAATCGGGTTCTGCTTGTAACTCCAAGTTCAGGATGGTTGCGACTTGTATCGGTTGTGTCCAAAGTGAAGATGGGGTTAGGTGAGAGTAGGTTTGGCTGGGCAGTTGAATAGGTGTAGCGTGTCATTTGGACCACTACCACATGTCGTGTAGATATTATCTACCTCGCCATCAATTCGTGCCCAATATGAATTGAGGCGACTACAACATCCTGCTCTTAATTGTGGCAAGACTACTCTTGTTTATCGAGGTACCCACTGTTCTTCTGCAACTATTTTGGGAAGGTGATCACCGAGGTTTGTATTCAAACGATAGTCTCGAATTGCTCCCTTTACTGCATCCGTGTGAATACGATTCAATCCTGCTTGATAGGCCTGTTGATCTAGAGGTTCCTCATGAAGATGATCCTTTCTGACATGCCTAGGTGGTGGGTGCCTATCCATTAGGTAACTATTTGGATGGCTACTTGTATAACACCCAAGCAGGTATTACATCGACAACATCTTGTTGTGTTGACACAGAGGAAGGATCTTCGTCTCCTCATGTAAGTGGTCTATTGGTGTATTGAGGAGACACCCTGTTGCAGTCCTCAGGGCTGCATTCTGGTAGGATTGAAGACTTTTCCACTGCGTTGCACTGATGTTAGCGAACCACACTGGCGCCGCATAGTTTACCACAGACCGGCCTATTGATGTGTATGTTGTTAACAAGTTTTTTTTTTGACAGCTCCCCAAGTGCTGCCGGCTAGCGACTTGAGAACCTTGTTTCTGCTCCTGATCTTAACGCAAATGCTGTGGCATACGCGGACTTATAAGTCATCCGGCTATCGAATGTGACCCCCAGAACCTTAGGGTAATTTGTGGACCCATCGACCTGCACATACAAAGATAGCTGCATCACTTCTGTCCATGTGGAAAACAGTTGACTTAGTGGCGGATATTTCCATATTCCTCGACCGGAAAAAGTCTGTAATATCCACGAGATAGTGGTTCAGCCTCTCGCAAATGTCATCAATTTTAGATCCTGATGTCATGATCCGACAATCATCTGCGTATGTTACTATCTTTATGCCGTCCGGTGGGCGTGGTATTCCAGAGAGGTAGAGGTTAAAAAGTTCCTGAGATATCACCCTTCCTTGGGGAACTCCTCCTCCGCCCCCTTATATGTATTTTAATGATCCAAGGCGCTGTACCCATCCAAGTTGCTGAAATTTGCTATTCCATGTTCTGATGTGTGCTATACTTCTCTGTAGAAAATTTTCAGGTATTTTCACGGTCTTCGACGCATTTTTCAACTGAAGTGGCTGTTATTTGACATTCCAGGATCTTTGAGGGTATTTTAAGGTCCCGGTCGCATTTTTCAACTAATGTGGCTGTTATTTGAGATTCCAGTTTCCTTGATGATAAAAAACATCTTGGCAAAGGCCCATGTTTTGGCATATCCCACCCCATTTTGGTCAGTAATTTTGCATTTCGTGTCCTAGGTTGAAAATTTATTGGCGCATCTTATAAATACGGGCCATATTTTATTGTAGCAGCACTATATACATGTCCCAACCTATTTTAAATATTTTCATGGCCCCAGACGCAAACGAAGTGGCTGTAATTTGACGTTCTAGTTCTTCCTGGGAACAAAATCTATTCACAAAGAATTTTCATTTTAAATCCTCTTATAACATCCCGTCCCATTTTCGGTGTACTGAAGGTCTTATTCGAATTTTCCTAACTGAGGGTCTGCATTTTTTGCATTTCGTCTTTTCAGAGGATAAAAACCTCCCTTGGCAGATAACAAACGATTTTAAGCCTTTTGAATGCACACACCTCGGTGAAGAGTATTCAAAAATCTGACCTTTGGGAACTTAATGAAGATATTACTTACGTCAAAAATGCTTCATTCTCCAAGCGCACAACATTCTTCGCACACTCCGCACGTTTGTGATCCACAGATTTTTTAGTTGGCGTTTTAAGCGGAGGCGGTGGCACCCAAGTCAAAGGTCTGCTGCGATCTACACCATAGGGACCATCTTCGGGTTGGATGCCTGTCCATATTTTCTTTTTCAAAGATAATTTAATTTCCAAGTCCTCCTTACTCAAGGGTTCCTTTTTGGCCATTGATCTGTAAAATTCAGACATTTTGTCAAACAAATTAAATTTAAAAATTTATATTTGAAAGAAATATTTTTTTCCAAACCTACTTCGTTTTAAAGACTGGTTTCGGTGAGTGTACCGCAGCCGGTGATTGTTGTCGTCGTGTCACATTCATTGAATACCATTGCGGTGTTATGGGTGTTTGTGGGGCAGTATTCAGATTATGCCAAGAACTGGTACGTCTTGCCGGTTCACCAATCATTGGAAGTTCCGCAGATTTTGGTGGTGCTGCAGAATATTTTTTGTGGGTATTGCTTGCGGGTTTTAATAGTATCTTTATTGGTGGATGTTTTGTTTTATTGGAAGGAGATGTTATAATCAACTCAGGTGGCATATTTCTCAGACCATCTCCTATTTCTTCAATGTAACGTCGTTGAAGTTCACTTTGCATTAGACCACGTCTTATGTGACGGGGTAATGTACTATAACATTGCACACCACCAGTGGCGGCGGTGGCATCCATTACATATTCATCATCTGTTGAGAATACTAAATCAGAACCTGGATCGGTGGTGGGTAAATCCAATAGTAGACGTTCTTCTTTTTTCCTTCGATGTAACGATTTGCAACGCATTTTTACTTTGTGGGGCTGTAAGTAGAAAAAAATCAATTTTGATTAAGTTTTACCATGATTTATAGGTCATGGTGAGAATTGGGAAAACAAATTTAATCCAAAAAAGTAACTCCTTCGAGCCGGATTTGAACCAGCGACCTATGGATATCTATGTTTATCGCTTGCAGCGCTCTCTACAGTCCACCGCTCTACCAACTGAGCTATCGAAGGTTATGAGATTTCCGTTTTCGTAAAACGCAACAAGACAAATACCGTTATCAGATGTGTTATTTTTGGGTCTTGAGAATCTCAAAGCATATCAAAAGTTTATAATATTGATAATATTTTTAAAAGTCCAAAATATTTAATTTTAGATTTTATTTTATTTTTTTATTTTATCTTTATAAGAGGTCATGGTATAATAATAGAAGGTAACAGCAAGTGTTGTTGTACAAAAAACGATACAACAACCACATGGAAATTTGTTGTTGTAAGTTCTACTAGTGTCAACTCATTTGACAGAAAAATGTAAACAAACAAACAAATTATCATCAAATTATTTTTATTTTGAAAATGAAATATTTTCGAATCCTCAAAATAAAAATTGAAAAACATGAATGAAAATGTATCAAATTTATATTTCTATCGCTTCCACATCTTTCCTATAATTGAGCCATTGCCATATATATGTGTAACACATATGAAAGTGCTGGGATTAGCGATTTATTCCTTGAAGAAAGATTTGCTTCCTCAAACTTTCCCAGCAGGCAGATTGAGTAAATTGAATACAAGAGCACATTTTATAAAGAACAATTTCAAATTGTATGCGTTCCCAATTTTCCTGTTGGGTGATTTTTAAAAACATAATTTGTCAAATTCATATTGACACTAGTATTACGTTGGAATCAAATCAGCTGGGATTTGCTGTTACCTTTTATAATTGTACCATGATAAGAGGTAAAGAAGCTCCACTGATGCCTAATTAAAAAATGTATTTTATGTTCGTTTGTATATTTTCTGTATACAATTGAAGAAAAATATACTTAAAATAGAGTTAAGCCCGAACCAAACTACTAGAAAAATCAGACAATATCGATATTTTGTTTGCCAACATTTCATTAATCCACTGTATCAGAGCCCAGGATATACCTGTAATTTCGAGAGCAGAATGGTTAGATTCGAGCTCATTCAATTGATAAGAAATCAGAAAGCTTAGCCAAACCTAGAGATTAGAAGGACTAAAAGCTGTTTATCGTCCATACGGTTTTTAATGAACTAATTAGATCTGTTATCTTCTTCGGTTTGGAGTCTACGAACATCGTATTTGAGTTTCATATAACTGGGACGGAGTTAGTACACGCGTCATCTACTCATTTCCATCTAATCACCGGTCATTCGAGATTCATTGGATACATTTCAAAAGACAAGAACTTTACCAACGACTATTACAAAGCGTTATAAGTTGCCCACGCATGCCACACCTCTTTGCGATAAGACTAGGAGCAGGAACAAGATTCTCAAGTCGCTAGCCGGCAGCATTTCGGGAGCTGACAAAGAAACCTTGTTAACGACATACAGAACAATAGACCGGTCTGTGGTAAACAATGTGGCGCCAGTGTGATCCGCTAACGTTAGTGCAACGCAATGGAAAAATCTTCATTCCTGCCAGAATGTCGTCCTGAGAACTGCAACTGAATGTCACCTCAAGACTCCGATAGACCACTTACATGATGAGACGAAGGTGCTTCCTGTGCGTCAAAACAACAAAATGATGTCAATGCAATACCTACTTGCTTGGGTGTTATAGAGAAGTAGCCATCCAAATCGTTACCTAATGGATAGGCACCCACCACCTAAGCATGTCAGGAAAGGAGCCTTTAGATCAACAAGGCCTTTTAAGCAGAATTGAGTAGTATTCACATGGATGCAGTTGAGGAAGAATATCGTGTGAATACAATCCTCGGTGATCACCCGCCTACGATAGCTTCAGAAGCGCATCGACAAACCAGAGTGGTCTTGGCACAATTGAGATCTGGATGGTGTAGCCGCCTCAATTCATATTGAACACGAATGACCGCGCCAATAATATCTGCCCTGCATGTGTTAATGGTACACATTCTGCCCAGCCAAACCCACTCATCTAACACCATCTTCACTTTGGACACAACTGATACAGGTCGCAGCCTTTTTAAACTTGGAGTTAGAAGCAGAACCAGATTAAGGAGAAATACACAGCAGTACAAGCTGCTACAACAACAACGCATCGTAATTCCCTATTATATTCCCTACTTCATTAAAAGACCAGATTTAATACGAATATTGACACTTCATGGCAATTCCTTGAAGACACTTTACAGACAACAATGTGAAATCGTTGACGAAATTTTCACACAAGTGTCGCAGTATTCATGCACGACAACTTGGGCGACAGGGTAAGCGATATTGTCGTTGACGACAACTTCGGCGACTAAACTCCCTACTTTTCGTTAACGACAGATTCACTTACCATGTCGTTTGTATACCTATTGTCATCAATCCTACCCTATTTAAAATTCAAATAAAAATATATGTAGGGGAGAGGGGGGCACCTTTGAACACTTTTTTCTTTCAAGCCTTACAAAATTTTTTATTTTATAATTTTTGGTTTCTTATAAATTTTAACTAATAGTTACATATGTAACCTTTAAAATGAATATACATATGACATACTTTAAGCTTGATAAATATATTTTATTACTGTTTTAATGGACGAAGTCAAAGGGTTAGCATTTTGAAATGACATGGTTTTTAGGGGGTTTATGTTCAAATATGTATGTATTTTATTCATACATATCAGAAATGCATTTATTCATTAAAAAATATATAAAAAAATTTCCAAATTTAAAAAATTTAGATCAAAATTTATTAAAACATAAAGTGACTTAAAACAAAAATTAATATGGTGAAAAATACAGTTAATTTCGTCATCTTATTAGCCCATTTGAAATTTTAACAAAATAAACTCCTTCGAGCCGGATTTGAACCAGCGACCTATGGATATCTACTTTTCAAATTTGCATTGTCTACAGTCCACCGCTCTACCAACTGAGCTATCGAAGGTTAAGTAAGTGTGGTGGCAAAGTTGCCATGTGTAGACATGTTCCCCACTAATGATTTGTACTAAAAAAACTTACAATAAATTTTACACCTAAGTTTCTATGGTGAAATATGCATTCAACCACCATTTGAAACCGTTAACACTATTTTGCTGCGGTGAATTTTAAACCGTTGTACTTCACATCAATATTCATTACAGTACTACATGTTCATTTGCCTCGTGGTTGACATAACCTTCGATAGCTCAGTTGGTAGAGCGGTGGACTGTAGAAAATGCAAATTTGAAAAGTAGATATCCATAGGTCGCTGGTTCAAATCCGGCTCGAAGGAGTTACTTTTTAATTGAAACATTTTTATTAAATTATATTAATTTTTTATACCATTGAAATAAAGTAGTCTAGTGTTTTGGCCCAAAAAAAGAGGTTTTAATAGAAAAAAGTAAATTTTAATAAAAAAATCATTTGAACGGAAGAAATGGCATACTTGTTTTATAGAATTTCAATTACCATCGAAGTTTATAATATTACGTTTCACAAAATTTATTTTTAAATATTCCACTTTTTTAGATTTAATTCCACCTTTTTTATTTTGCTCGACCATGAAATATAGTTACACTATGGACTTAAAAAAAAAGTCGCTCCTTCGAGCCGGATTTGAACCAGCGACCTATGGATGTCTATGTTTATCGCTTACAATGCTCTCTACAGTCCACCGCTCTACCAACTGAGCTATCGAAGGTTATATGCGACCATTCTCAACATATGTGGCCCATTTATTTTGTTTCTATGAAATGTTTTAAAAAATCTGAAAATTATACATATTTTTTCAAACGCATAAGAAATAATTTTCAAAACTTGAAAATCAGAAAAAACAGAGAAATATCCGAATCAAGTATTATTTTTCAAAATTGACCTGACCAGCCAACATTAATATATTTCTGGCATTTTTGACATAAAAAAAAAACAATTTACGTCACTATTTCCTCCACCACAAAGTGGACATGAAAAAAAAACACTGAAATCTATCGGGATTTGAATATGCAGGCTATGCCATGGTAAATTGCTGCCAGGAAACAGAACAGGTATTTAGGTTGGACCTTCAATATACCGAAAATAACCTTTGCCAATTGTATTTGCCAATTAGGAGCATCATTAATGGGGACTATACCTTAATATGGACCGAGAATTACAGATAATTCGGTAGAAAATTTGTCTAAAATATTCAAAATCCTGTTAGTCCAAATCCAAGTTAGTGCTCGAATTACTTCCGTATTAACCGCATTCTCCTTTTTTGGTGCACTTGGGCTGCCTCCTGTTCTCGGAATTTAAAAGAATGATTTTTGGGAGAAAAGATAATTTGTAGAATAGAGACGCATCACAGAATATCAGGGATATTTTGAAGAACATAATTTATTTGAACATTTCTATGGGCACCGTATCGACATGTCGGACCACATAGTCTTGCTTTCAGTTTGACATATCTATGGAAAAGATATCGTATCTCCACAATTTTTGTTCTTTAAGAAGTATATTCATAAACTACCTGCTACAGAAAAAGCCAAAAAAAAAAAAAAAAAAAAAAAAATTGACCAGTGAGCGGAGCATTATAGTCGGACGGAGCCGACCATATGATACCCTACACAACTTCCACGAAAATCTAACTTTCTGTGGCCCTAATTCTGAGCTACGTTAATATTTCGCGATATTTACAACCTTTTCAGTAAAGCTTTTCTAAGTACTTGTCCAGATTTCCTTCAACGTGTGTTGTGATGTTCGACTTTCAATTGTGGCCTATAGATCGATTCGAAAAAAACACAACTCGGCAGTACAAAATGAAAAAATTCGCTGTTGCAAACATAAATTTACTGCGAAAAAATTCATTTCCGCCGCCCCCCTGCGTACGTCCCTGAAAACAGGCATGATTTTTCTTTGGCCCGATCT